GAGAGAGAGAGAGAGAGAGAGAGAGAGAGAGAGAGAGAGAGAGAAAGACAGGGAGGGAAAACAAAAAACAAAAACAAAAAAACAATCATTTCGAACAATTAGCAAAATAATAAAATAAATAATTGTTGTAAAATTTTAAATTGGAAATGAAAAATAAAAATTAATAACATTTCCATTAATTCAATAAATGATTTAGAAAATATTAATTAAAAGAAAGAAAAAAAGAAGGAAATTTCATTCCAATCATAGAAAAATTTATATCATTACAGTACTAAGAAATTCTGATTGTACATTTTGTTGACATTTGACGAGCGATAGTGTCGCATTACTTCTGAAATTTGCTTAATCATAATGCTTAATTAATTACAAACTATTTATATTTCATAAATACAAACTTTTAAAACATTTTAAATTTAAAATTTTAAATTCTACAAAAAGAAAAAAAACTATTACAAATAAAATTTCATATATATATATATATATTATAAAAAACGAACGTTTTTTCAAGAAAGCATTTTTTTGAATCAAAATAACATCGATTAGGATAAATAATTCCATGTTGATCACATACTGGTAACCAATTATTGTTACAATGAATAATATTCATTGAGCAGCATTCACCGGAAAATTTATCAGGAAAAAATTTTTCATTTTATTAAAACGGAATACTGGTTTACGTGTAACACTGGTTCAACGTGTATTACTTAAGTCATTTGTTACGTAAAGAATTTTTGCATGAATATGATAATTTTTGTATGTTATAATGTAAAAATAACATATACTTTGATAATACTGATAAGTGATAGTATTTTGATAATATTTCCTCCGAATAGTATTTTCTTTGATAATACTTTTTTGATAATATTTTGTTTAATTATTTTCTTTTGATAATACTTCCCTCGATAATTAAATAATTTAATTAATACTTTAATAATATTTTGATAATACTTTTTCTAAATAACACTTTCCTCGATAATTAAATAATTTAATTAAAATAATTTACCATAATATGCAATGTTAATTAATTTTGTATAAATATGATAATTTTTGCATGTTATAATGCAAAAATAAGGTATTCTTTGATAGTACTGATAAATGATAATATTTTGATAATATTTTCCTCAATTATTTTTTTTTTTGATAATACTTTTCCTAAATAATACTTTCGTCGGTAATTAAATAATTTAATTAATATTTCCTTCAATTATTTTCTTTTGAATAATACTTTCCTCGATAATTAAATAATTTAATTAAAATAACTTACCATAATATGCAATATTAATTAATCTTTGTTGTGTTCGATTCATTATGCATTGTTTATGCCAAAAAGTACACAAATTAAGATGTGTTATACCATTTGTATCACAAATAGGTCCACTATTTGTGCAATTTTTGTCATTTGATATCATACAACATTTACCCATATATGCGACATGTAATGTACGATTGTTACGACGATGTGATTCACATTGTGCTAATCTATAAAATTTTCTGAAATTTAAAAAAAAAAACAAAAACAAAAAAGAAAAGTGATTTTTCATTTTTTGAAGAATTATTCAAATACTTTAAGAGTTCAAAAATCACTCAAATATTTCAACTTTAAGTGTTCAAAAATCACTTAAATATTTCAATTTTACATAAACACCAAATTAAATGTATTATCAAAATGTCATCAATACACTATATAAATTTCAAAATTTCAATTACGAAATTATCAATTTAATTTAGTGATTAAAAAATTTTGCAAAAGCTCAAAAAGTTTTCCCTTTTTCTAACATATAACCAAAATATTCATGAATATATTTGTAATAAATTGGAAAACTAAAACAAAAAAAAAAAAAAGGAAAAAAAAGTTGGAAAAAAACGTGGAAAACATAGAAACTGAAAAATGAACTAAAAAAAAAATATTAATTTTTCATGAAATTAATTTATTAATTTAATAATTCAAAAATAAAATTATTAAACAAAAAAAATAAGTTATTATACCTAAATTTACACCAATTATCATGAGTTATTTGTGTATTATCACAAATTGATATCATTGATTGTTGTTCATATTGACAATTATCCGTGCAACATTCACCCAAATATCGAATTGTTAAATTAGTTCGAAAACGTTTTTGTGAAAGGCATGCCATTCGTTTATATTCACAAATATTATTATGCGTTTGACCTTCACTATCACAAATTGGTGATAAATTATCGCTATCATTACATTTTCCGCTAATTTCTTCACAACATTCACCTAAGAAATTTTTTTTTTTTATAATTTCAAAAAATTTAATTAGTAATTATATCAAACATTTTTATTTCATGTATTTCATTCTTGTTTTTTTTCACTTTTTAAATTATATTTTTTGAAAAATTTTTTTCAGAAATCATTGATATTTTGTGTTATTTAACCGGAATGAAATAATATAATTAATTGTCTAACCTATATAATCAAGTTCCAATTTCATTTCTTCACTTCTAATCGTACCCAATCGATTATGTTGCTTATTAAGTGCACAAATTACATTGTTTAATTCACATTCATTTTGATAAGTTATACCTATTAAATAATTTATTAATTATATTTGATTAAATTAATATTTTCATCAAATAAACCTATTAGTCAGTCATTATCACTTTTTTTTTCTTTAATCATAATGAAAAAATCAATATTTCCTATCTTTCAACATTACATATTGAAGTTTATACAAATTAAAATCTTCCAATTGGTATTTTCTTGCAATTCAATGTATTAAAAATAAGTGTAAAAAAAAAAAACAAAAACAGAGCATCGTTTTTTCTTTTTGCTTTTATTTGAAGTGAATAATAAAATATTGGAAAAATTTCTTTCTTATTTCTTCCTGTTTTCTTTTTTGGTTCATAAAATATAATTTTTGTTTGCAAAAATTTTGCATAACTAACCATTTGAAGCACAAACAGGTTGATAATCATTTGATTTGCATTGCATGTTGCATGCATCATTGGAACATGCTGTATAGTTGACAATACTCAATGGTTGACCATCACGTCGTGTAGCGATGCAATTTTGCACGCTGAACATGCATAAATTCTGAAAAGTAATAATTAAAATAAGTTGAAAACTCAAATTTAATAATTCAAAAAAGAATTAATTATTGATATGAAGTTTGAATTAATTATATAATTAACTTACTAAATGAGTAACATTCCGATTATCGCATATTGGAGCCCAATGTTGTTCACAACGATTTGTACAACATTCTCCGTTATATGCCACTAATAATGCCCTAAAAATGATTAATCTTTTAGTAATATGCAAAGAATATAACAATTTATTTATGTTATTGGATTATTTTCAATAATTGTTTTATCTTGATTAATTAATTAATTGTTGAAAAATTTTCATAATTTTTACATGTCACGATATCACGACAAATAGAGCAATTTATTAATTGATCAGAGATGATATATGAAATGAATAAATTTCTTTTATTACAATTATTTATTTCTATATGTCACGATATAAACATTTTAAATTTCACGTCATTTTATTTTGTTAAATATGAAAATTGTCATATGTTATCATCAAAAAGTGATATATCATTTTTCTGTCAAATATTCTATTCAAATTATTGAGATAAATAGCATAAAAATTTATTCATCTTATATGTCATCTTTGATCAGTCAATATTTTATTTAATTTTTATTTAATTTAATTTTTTATTTAATTTAATATTATTTAATTATACATATTTATTTAATTTTATTTTATTTAATTTTTAATTTTGCAATTAAATAACTTTAAAAAAAAACGTGATAAGAGGAAAAAATTCAGACTTATTATGACATTGTGTTTTAATTAAGCGACAATGATTGATATAGGTAATTCCATCCGTACCACAAATAGGTTCATAATTTGTATTACATTCAAAATCATTCGTACATTTCATTGCTTCCTTTACATCTATAACTTTTTTTTTATATATATATGCTAAATTTAACAATTAATTTAAAAATTAATTTGATATCAACTAATAATTGCTAAATCGAAAAAAAGAATTCAATTAAAATATCACATAACTCTTATGCTATTATATTATATTGGAAATGTAAAATATTTAATTTTTCACTATCAAAGATAAATCGCTGATAAATTAATGATGAGAACGATAAATTTGTTGGTTTGTTAATGATGATAGGGATAAATCGTTGATGTATTAATGATAATAAGGATGAATCATTGATATGTTAATGATAACAAGGATATATCGTTGGTATATTAATGATAACAAAGATAAATCGCTGATATATTAGTTATAACAAGGATAAATCGTCGATATGTTACTAATAACAATGATAAATCGTTGATATGTTAATGATAATAGGGATAAATTTGCTGATATATTAATGATAACAAAGATAAATAGCTGATATGTTAATGATAATAGGGATAAATTTGCTGATACATTAATGATAACAAAG